CTTCATATTCAGCGATTTTGATTACGTGGGGGGCGCGTTCTACCGCCACATTGTGGACATACAGAGGTGACGACCTGGGCGGGGCCAGGCGGGACGGGCGGGCTGAGGCGTGATCAAGCAGGAACTCTTGACCAGCCGGGGGCGGGGGCCCGAGGGGGGGGGAAGGGCGGGCAGGACCGGCTGCCCAGGTTATGAAGTCGGTCGAGCGGCGTTTGACCAGGTGGGGTTGTTAGGGGCAGTAGGTTCGGCGCGCCCAACCGAGCGCACCTTGCGCGCCCCCCCGTCTGCAGCGTACCCCACTCAAAGCCCCTGGGTCCGACTCCCGCCCCGCCCCCAGGTGCGTCAGCGGCAACCAGGTGAAGGGCATCTTCGGCCTCACCCTCGACGACTGCATCGGGAAGATCGCGTTCCCGGCGGTCCAGGCGGCGCCCAGCTTCCCGGGCTGCTTCCCGCACATCTTTGGCGACCGGCGGGACGTGCGGTGCCTCATCCCGTGCGCCATTGACCAGGACCCCTACTTCCGGTGGGTGGGGGGCCTCCGCTTGACTTGTGTGGGGCTCAAGCTGGGTGCATTCGCGCCTTTTTGATTCGTGCCTGTTTCAGGCCACCTCGAGGGGTGCACGCAGCAAGAGCTTGTTGCGTCGTGTGCGCGGTCTGATCAGCAGACGCCCTCTTAGGACGTGGCAGGCGAGCATCGGCCTGCAGAGAAAAGCCCTCGCACGTGGGGCGAGGGCCGGTGGCGGGCGGGACCCAGCGGCGGGCTGCGAGCGTAGTTGGGCGGATTACTGCCAAATCGCCTCGCTCTGCTGGGGTTCGTCGATACAACCCACCTTTGAGACCGTGGAACCGCGCTTGCTTCGCGCACCCGTTCTCTGGCCAGCCGCACTTGCACGCACGCGCGTCCGTTCCCGCAGCCCTCGCTCACCCGCCTGCCCCACCCTTGCCGACAGGATGACGCGCGACGTGGCGCCGCGCCTGGGCTACGCCAAGCCCGCACTGATCGAGTCGCGATTCTTCCCGGCGCTGCAGGGCGAGAGCGGCAAGATGAGCGCGAGCGACCCCAACAGCGCCATATTCGTCAACGACACGCCCAAGCAGATCAAGGACAAGGTCAGCAGCGAGGGAGTGTTTGTGCCATGTGTGTGTGTGTGTGTATGTGAGCGCGCGTGCAGTGTGTTTGTGTGCATGTTCGTGTGAGTTTGTGTGTGCGTTTCTGTGTGCGTGTGTTTAAGGGTGTCTGCGTGCGCGCGCACGTGTGTTTGTGTGTGTGTGTATGTGTGTGTGTATGTGTGTGTGTGTGTTTGTGTGTGTGTGTGTGTGTGTGTGTGTGTGTGTGTGTGTGTGTGCGGCCGTGTCACGCGTGGCACGCGGCTAGTTGGGACTCGCGGGATTTGCTGATTGGCTTCCGGGCATTCACAGGGCGTGCAGCGCTGGGGTTGTCACGCCCTCCTGGCACCCGGCTGCCGCAACCAGCCCTGCACACCGCCTGCCCGTCAAGACTACCCCTGGTAACCCCTCCCACTAACACAGCTGTGTGCACCCGAGCGCCCACACACGACCCCACGCGCCGACGCGCGCCGCCTGCCCCCCTCCCCCTCGATCCGCGCGCCCCCAGATTACCAAGTACGCGTTCAGCGGCGGCGGCGCGACCCTGGAGGAGCACCGTGCGCGCGGCGCCAACCTGGACGTGGACGTGCCCTGGAAGTACCTCAACTTCTTTATGGAGGACGACGACCGCCTGGCCCACATCGGCCGCGAGTACGGCTCGGGGCGCATGCTCACGGGTGCGCGCGCGATGGGCGGGGTGGCGGCCCGGAATGGGGGCCCGGCAGGGCGCGGGGGGGCCTAGCTGCTCGGCGGCGCGGAGCGGCGGCGGTGTGCTGTTCTTGAGAGCGCTAGGGAAGTGTGTGTGTGGGGGGGGGGTGCAAATTTCGTGGCCCTCTTTCTAGCCGTGCGTTCCACCATGCGATGCGATGTTGTTTGCGCCTGGGGTCCAAGCCCCGTGCAAGATCTTTCATAAGGTATCCACTCGCCCCCATCCAGCCGCAAAGTGTGTGCTTCCTCAACCACATTCTCCACCACCACCACCACCACCACCGCCGCCGCCCTCCGCTAGGCGAGATCAAGGGCGAGCTGACGCGGCTCCTGACAGACATTGTGGCGCGCCACCAGGCGGCGCGCGCGCAGGTGACGGAGCAAGTGGTGGACGCGTTCATGGCGCCGCGGCCGATGCACGATGCATTCGCCGCCTCCGGGCGCCGGCCGGGTTGACGCCCCGGCGAGATTACCTGGGTAACAGCTGACCGGCAGGGTGGGCAGCTTGACTGGGCTTTGATGGTGCCGCAGGCGGCAGGCGGCAGGGTTGCGTGCGTGGCGGAAAAAGCGACCAAGTTGCAAATGAGCACACGTGGGGCGGGAGGCACCTGTGGCTGGTGCCAGCGGCGGCTCATCAGTGCCACGCAAGGCACTCATGCGGGTGCTCAGGCTGCCGGACGGCGGCGGGACTCGATTGGAGCGTCATGAAAGAGCAGGAAAGGGGACCTGAACAGCGTCCATGCGCTCTAAATATTGAACAGGCGGCGAACTGTGTCGAAGGGAAGCATGCATGGCAAGAGCGCACTGGGGTTTGCGACCCTACCCAGAGCCACAAGAGGCTTTATCGTGTTCTAGACCGTTGAACAACAACAGATTGGCCCCACTCGACACCGGCCGTTGTTGGTGTGACCGATCTGCGTCACCGCGGACGAGCCAGTGCGAGTCATGCTGCTATGATTGCGATAAGTTTGATTTTTCGAAAACACTGCGTCAGTGCATCGGGTCAACGGCGCCACTTTTTTGAACGCTGGTTGAATTTTTTCCACGCGCCGAAGCGCAATTGTGCCAGGTGCAAACGCCGAAAGTGCAGACGTTGATTGCTGGAAGTCTATGCTACGTGCATGTATCGGTATTTCGTACTGAATTACCAGTGAACGTGCTCCACAATGGACCTCGCGGCACGCCGCCCGCGCGCCCCAGCGCGCCCTTGATGCCCTTGGGAAGAGCTCGGACACATTAGCAGTGGTCACGCCTGGAGTGCGGGCGCGTGCGACACGAGCAGCCCCTCCCAGAGGGCCTCAGCCCGGCGAACAGCAAGATGCCCCCGCAAACGCCCCTCAAGGTGTCCCCAGGGGGTGGTTCTGCTGGGCCACATAGCAGTGACGGCAGCAGCGTTGCAGCTAGGCCCATAGACGCTCGGCATGCTCTCCTCGATGCACCGTTCAGCACGCCGACTCGCCCTTGCTCCTTGCATCGGGCCCTTTTTGCAGACTGGCGCTTGGGATGCGGACGAGGACGATCTCCTTTACTACTGGCAGGCGAGTGCCTGAGCACCGCCCCGCGATCCAGGCGACAGGGGGTCAAGAGTTGTTGCTGCTGTGTGCGTGATGATTGTGGCTCACCCGATGCGCAGGCGTTCAGCAACACAAGGGGCCCCGCTCGCATCCCAGGGCCATTGCGGTGGCTGGAATGAACGCATTCGTCGCTGTCGCAAGCGGCGCGCTGGCCTCCAGTGCTGCGCGGCGGCGCCACCAAGCGTCGTTGTCGACCCGTGCCTCCCCCCTTCACGCCCCTCCCTGCGCAGGGCAAGGTCGGCAACAAATGGTCCGAGGTCGCAAAACACATCCCCGGCCGCACCGGCCAGCAGTGCGCGCAGCGGTGGCGCCACAAGGTGCGAGCGCCGCTCAGCACGCCGGGGGCTCTGGGGCCGGGAAGCTGCGACAGCCGCAAGCACTTTCAGGCCCCGCGTCCCGCGTGCGGGCCTGATCGTGCAGGCAAGCCCTATTACAGGGGCTGGGGATCCCATTTAGATCCGATCACGCTCCGCGCGCTCCTGTCAGCGGCCGCCCCGTCCAGGCCGCCGGCCTCATCCCGCGGTCAACAATGGGGCGGCGCCCCCGCCATGCAACCCGGCGCCTCCCACGCTTCCTTTCCCGCAACCCCCTCCCCTCCGCAGGTCAACCCCAACATCAGACGTGACAAGTGGACCGAGGACGAGGACTCGCACCTGATGGATCTCGTGAAAACATTTGGCATCGGCAAATGGGCCGAGATCGCGCGGCACATGCAGGGCCGCACCGATCAGCAGTGCATGGGCCGCTGGCGCCGCCACCTGGACCCGGCGATCCGGCGGGTGAGCGCGGAGCTGGCGCCGATTGCACTTGTTTGGGGGGGATGGGGAGGGTCTACAATGATGGGCGGGCCGATCGGAGCAGGGGGGGGCATGGGTGGGTGTGCAGGGTCAAGCGGGGGGTCGTTGCGCTGGCAGCAGGGACCAGGTGTCCCCTGGGATGGGCCTCGCACGCTTGCGGCCGCCGCCCCTCCGCGCCGCCTGCCATGGTTGCTCGGGGGCGGCGCCAGTGTGAATAATAGTTGGCCCGGCTCACCGCCCCCCGCCGCCCGCCCTCGTCCCCCACCCGGCCGCCGCCAGGACTGCTGGGCGCCAGAGGAGGATGCGCGGCTGCGCGCGCTTTACCAGCAGTATGGCACCAGCTGGTCCCGCATCAGCAAGGCACTCAAGGGCCGCACCAGCCAGCAGTGCCGCGCGCGCTGGCACCAGCTGGACAGCGGCCGCAGCCGGCGCGGCGGCGGCGGGGGCGGCGGCGGCGGCGGCAACGGGAACGGCAGCGGCAGCGGGGGCGCGGG